CAAGGTTATTATAAACTCCCCAGGTGATTATTTCACTGGGCTGGCAGGCTTGGGAAGCACGGCGCAATGGAAAGCACCAGGGGCAGTGTCCAAATGTGGTTACTCCGGAGAAGCCCTGGATAAATAAGACCACCAGGACCAGTCAAGCAAGACTGTTGTTAGTGTAAACAAAGGCGTCAGTGGGCTGAGAGAATGACCGGAAGATAATATTCCTGGTATTAAAAAGGATCAGTGACTGATGTTAACATATGCGAGATTCATTCACTCAGTCTATAAACAAAAATTTCCTGAACATCCAAAAGACAGGGGGAACCATGTCAGGTGCCAGGATTGCATAAATGACAAAACCCAGTCCTTGCCTTCAAGGAACTGAGTCTAAATGTCCTGACTTGTTACCGCTGCTCTCGTAACTATTTCTTCAGTCTCCACACTCTGCCTCTCCATTTTCACAGGTACAAGAATTTCATTCTGGAATTCCCTATCATCATTTCTTAAGCTGGAAGGTAATTGCTCTCTTATTAAAAAACAACAACAACAACATAAATTAGGAATGTTTGATGTCTCCAAAAAGATATGATTTAGGGAGAAAATATTTGATATTTTCAAGAAGGAATGTTTTCAGGAACTTAAAGTATGATTGTAAGATTTTTCTCCAAGGTGAAAACTAACTACCTAAGGGAAAGCACAGGAAAGAGCCTCACTGTCAGAGCGGGGAGTAGGCAGTGTGTAGGCAGTCCCTACCAGCTGGGAGAGTCAGCGCCAGAGAAATAGACCCTCTTCAGGTCCCTGAAGGTTAGCAGCATGAGCCCTGAGCCACCTCTTGTCTAGGTGAACAACACCCTTCTCAATACACAACTTGTTTACATTCTTTTGCAAATTAGGGGATAATATAAATCATGAAACTTTTTCAAGTTTAGCATAATCCAGTTAAAATAAGATCGATCAATTAGAACCTAGAAATTGCCAGAATATCTTGTTTTGCTTAACATTATATCTACTTTTCAGAGGCTCCATGGAAAATTATCCTATATAGACTCTTTCTTTTTCCCTCTGTCAACTAATGTAAATACATCATTACAATATTCAAAATTCCTCATAAAAAGTTACGTGTATTTATTCCCTTTAGAGGGCTTTATCTCAACTGAGAAATTTCTACTTCTTGGCCAAGCAAGATATTTATCAGAGATAAATTTATACTTATTTTCAGTAATTGTCTCTAGTGTAGGTTTTGGTCTATAGATTGTGGCCTCTTGGTATGTTGCTTGTTTCCTAAAGATGCTTGGAGTATCTTTGAAAGCTCAGGTTTTGGTTCAGGGAGAACTGCCAAAGCACACAACTCTCTGCTCCCCACTTTGTTTTTCAACTTCCCTTTCCTTTTGTAGTCTGACTAGAAAGGCAGAGATAAATCCCTGTGTCTCTAGAGCCTCTGGTTGTTTTTTCAGTAGAGTTAATATCTGGAACATTTCTGTATCGTTATTCATCTCTGCTAACTCCTAATTGGCTTGTCTTCTGTGTGAGTGTTCAGTTTACATTACAAGCTTCTTTATTATTCACAGACCTTAAAGCAATTTTGTGATTTCTTCTTAGAAGTGTCTCATTTTTTCCCAGAACTTTCAGAAGTATAAAATTTCCTAACAATTAAATGCCATGTAACTTTGTTTTCTCTTGCAGTACCTTCAGAACTTATATAAACTCTTGGATATCTGTGTAAGTTTTCATTCGTGACTTTGGTAACATTATCAAGACTTGAAAGAAGAGTGAAGGTGAAGGTTCAGGAAAATAAGGGGAAAAGCAAGGAAATGTGAATGTATTTGAGAGTTTTGTCATCACAATACTGGCTAATATTCCATTTATTTCTTATTTTTAATAAAGCTTTAAATCATTTGGGACCTAAGAATGTTACAGAAATACTAACAGAATTGCTAATTAGTGAAAGAACTAAAACTTGCAACTCTATTTGAAAAGTGATATAATTTCTTGAAAATGTTGAAGATAGTAAGCTAACAGTTCTCTCAAACTGCCATTGCACGTTTCCTACTAAAAATGTTTGAGAAAGAAGTTGTTTTAAGAAAGAAAACATTTATTTAAATCCACATAACTTTGATTTTTAAAATATCTCTAAAACTTTCTTGTTCATTTCTGGTTTTCAGATGTCTTACTATAATGTGTAGTTGTTTGTATTTTTCTTGCTTGGTGTTTATTGAATCTTTCACCATTTCCTCAAAATTATTAGCCATTATCTGATGAAAGTTTCCATCTGCACTATTCTCTTTGTGCTCAAACTCCAGATACACACCTAACCTTTCCATGGCTCTCAAAAGTCTCTTATGCTATTGTCCATATTTTCCATCCCTTTCTTTAGCTCACTATGCATATTTTCTTCTGATCTATCTTCTGTTCACTAATTCTGTCTTCAGTTGTATTTAATTGGATATTAATCAATTAAATTATTTTTTAAAAATTTATTTTAATTTATTTTTAGAGAGAGAGTGCAAGCAAGGGAGAGGGGCAGAGGGAGAGTGAGAGAGAATCTTAAGCATGCTGAGCATGGAGCCCAATGCAGGGCTCGAGACAACCCTGGAGTCATGACCTGAGCCAAAATCAAGAGTTGGATGTCTAATGGACTGAGCCATCCAGGCTCAATGTCCAATAACTCCACTTGTTTTGGATCTCCTGAGGGTGTGTTTCTATTATCTATTTTTTTCTTTCCCTTGTCAGTTAAGTCTTCTTCCCCCACAACACTGACTTTGGATCCTTTTTTTTTTTTTTTTTAAAGCCTGGTTAATTTTGATTGAGCAGTAAACACTGAAGTTCTGGATGAAGTTGCCTTTCTCCAGAGAGGATTTACTTTTGTTTCTCTTGGGCATGTAGCTATGGGCATGACACTCACAGACCAGTTCATTCCGGTTGGAGACTGAGATGACTAGATCAAGCCCCCCTGGTTCACTCTTACCCCCAGGATGAAGTCCTTGAGGTTCCAATCACAAACTTGATTACTTACTAAGTCGCCTTCTCTCTGGCAGCTCCCAAACTTGAACTTTTAACACCCATCCCTGTCGAAAGTTCTGCTCAGTTTCTCAGCCTTTTACCACTACTTTTGGCATTGTCTATTGCCTTGAGTAGAGAAAATGCCTTCTTGAGATTTTTGTCAATCTTGAGTCCACGAAGCCTTCTTTCCTTAGAACTCGGCAAGCTTCAGAAATGCTTAATAGAATTTCTAGTTGTTCTTCCTGGTAGTATTAGCTGAAACAACCAGGTTGGAAAGAGAATACTTGATTTTCTTTTTAAAGATCAAATAAAGGGGTGCCTGAGTGGCTCAGTCATTTGCGTGTCCAACTTTGGCTCAGGTCTCACAGTTTGTGAGATCAAGCCCTACATCAGGCTCTTTGCTGTCGGTGCAAAGCCCGCTTTGGATCCTCTGTCCCCCTCTCTCTGCCCCTCTACTGCTTGCATTCTCTCAAAAATAAATACACATTTTATTTTTTAATTTTTTTATAGTTTATTTATTTTTGAGACAGAGAAAGACAGCATGAGTGGGGGAGGGGCAGAGAGAGAGGGAGACACAGAATCCGAAACAGGCTCCAGGCTCTGAGCTGTCAGCACAGAGCCTGATGCGGGGCTCGAAACCATGAACCGTGAGATGTGACCTGAGCCGAAGTTGGACTTTTAACCGACTGAGCCACCCAGGAGCCCCCAAAAATACACATTTTTAAAAAGATCATATAGGGGCACTTGGGTGGCTCAGTTAGTTAAGCGTCCGACTTCATCTCAGGTCATACATGATCTCATGCACGGTTCATGAGTTCGGGCCTCATGTCGGGCTCTGTGCTGACAGCTCAGAGCCTGGAGCCTGCTTTGGATTCTGTGTCTCCCTCTCTCTGTGCCCCTCCCCTCCTCAAGCTCTGTCTCTCTCTCTCAAAAATAAATAAACATTAAAAAAAGTTTTAAAAAATATCTTATAAAAACATTTGAAATTCCACTGATTAACTGTCATACACCCAGATAGAAGTAGAGAAAGTTGGTAATAAGTTAATGGGACTAAAAAACCCATTGGCATCAAGTGAAAATTCTTCCCTCCTTGCCTATATAAATGTTAAGATATATTTTGTTATGTACGTAACCTCTATGTAATGTTAATATATTGAGTTCTTATAAATACATTTTTGTCTTGATTTTTGTCTTATCAGAGGAAGCCACCAATCAGCAGACAAACTACTATAGTCCCCATGCTAACCTTTCCACCAGTCACTCCTTTGAATCCCAACGCTTACACCCCTGACAGACGGGGAGATTCATGATCATGAACTTCTGCAAGAAGTCCAGGGCCAAACGCAGCTTCTCCTTCCTCCAGCCCTTGTTTAATACCACAGCTGAAGAGCAAAGAACACTATCTCCCTGCCCCTTGTACCACAATGTGCTCTTTTCAACATCCTGGATAAAATGACAATGCTTCATTAAAAGTTTATATCACTACATAGTTCCCAAGTGAAATGTTCTTTTCTATCATTATTGGCATTTGAAAGAGGGGACAGGAAAAAAAGTAAAGGAATGTAGGAACTAGGATCTTTTCCCTCTGGGAAGTCACACACCTAGCCAAGAATCAGAGGCTCTATAACAAGGGAGAAAAGGAAAAACAATATTGAGGAGGGACATGCAGGCTGCAGTCCCTGCCAGACTTGGGGAGGTGGTGGGTGACGGAAGGATTCTGTCCCCAGCTCTTATCCACGCCCTTGAAGAGTCTACTGGGATGTTTCCAGCAAAAGGACAGTGTGTTCTGACCCTTTTAATTGGGACAGAAATCGATGAAGCCAGGGGGAAATGCACTTGCAATTTCCTTTTGCCTTATTTGGGAGGCAAATTTACAAGTTTCTCCCTAATCTGTCTATATAGATGTACAGGGCAAAAAGGAATAAGAAAGATTTCACAGATGTTACTCATTCTCCATCTGTGCAAACATGTAGTTCATTTTTCGGGAAAGAGAACAGTAACCTTCGTAGCTCTTAATGAAGAAGAATGACCACAGTCTATTATTACTTTCTGTTCCTACATGTGGAAAAATCATTATACGGCATTCCTAGGGGACTTTGGCTTCATAAGGGAGGTTTCCCAAAGGTCTCTCTTCACAACTGGTTGCAACAGGCCCACACCTAGAAGTCAGAGGAAATGGAGTTCACATAGGAGAGGACATGTATCTATTTTTATAAAAACAAGAGTCTCAGACTAAGAAATAAACTTGAAAGCCATTGAATCAACATCACCTGGGAGCTTGCTAGAAATGCAGAAGAGAGCAGTCCCCACTCTAGGTGAACTGAACCAGTATTGACATTTAACCAAGACCTTCAGTGGCCCTCCACAGCACCATCGACATACACACACCTGCCAGAATGCTTCTAGCCACAGGGAACATACTCTATGCAAGACAGCACATTCCATAATCCTTTTTGGGGTAGCTTTGGTCCGGGAAAAGTTATTCTTTGTATGGGGCTATAAGTTGGTCTTAGCCCAATTCTTTGGGAGTCATGTTGAATAAATCTAGCCTGTCTTCCCAATGATAACTCTTCAGATAAATAGATAAGTCTCACAGTCTTAAGTTTCTCCAAGCAAAAATTCTCCACTTCTCCAACCATTCTCCTTACGACATGGCTCAGTTTCTCCTCATATCCTAGGAGTCTTTTCCAAATATACTCTAGCTTTTATATTGTTCCCATTCTCGATATTGGATTTCAGAAATGCATATAACACTGCAGAGGTGATCTGGAAAATGACAAAAATGGAACGATGGCCTCCAACATTCTAGACCCGACATCTATTAATATGATCTGGGGCTACAGCTATCTTTTGGAGTAACCATTAAGTTATTTTCATGCATTTCTGAAAACATGTGTGGTGTCTTCTGTGCCTGTGCCCTTGGGCTGAAGAACAGGACCTGACATTTACCTTTGTTACCACTTATCTGATTAGACTCACATCGCATCTCATCTCACAGGTAAAGATAGATTTCAATCAGATTCCATCATTCAATACATTTGACTTCAGGAGCCCAATAATATGGTCTCAGCTTTGTCTGTTCATTCATCTACCCCTTCAACAAATAATTTTTTGAGTATCTCCTTGGGTTCTAGGCCTTGGGGAAACTGAATAGAACAAGACAGCTTGCGCCCCTGTCCTCGTGGGATCTCACTGCTTTGAAGAAGCAGTATTTGCTATACCTAGGAGGGTGCTGCTGAAAACAATAAAATACATTTGAAATGTATAGCAGGTACCTTAAAGGCTATGAATTACAGTTTCATGACCAAAGTACTGAGAACAAATAAAGTACTTAATAAAACAAATATTTACATGGCTAATTAATATTACAGTTATATTTGATGAACAGATAAAGAAGTGGTGTATATAAATATATACAATGGACTCAGTGATCAAAAAAAAATGAAATCTTGCCATTTGCAACTACATGGATGGAACTGAAGGGTATGATGCTGAGCAAAGTTAGTCAGAGAAAGACAAATATATGACTTCACTCATATGTGGAGTTTAAGGTACAGAATAGATGAACATAAGCGAAGGAAAGCAAAAATAATATAAAAACAGAGAGGGAGATAAACCATAAGAGACTCTTAAATACAGAGAACAAACTGAGGGTTGCTAGAGGGGTTAGGGTGGGGGATGGGCTAAATGGGCGAGGGGCATTAAGGAGGACACTCGGGATGAGTACCAGGTGTTATATGTAGGGGACAAGTCACTAAATTCTATTCCTGAAATCATTACACTATATGTTAACTAACTTGGATTTGAGTTAAAAAGAAAAAAAGAAACTATTAGATTTTTATACCGACTTATAATAAAGAAGCATGGATTAAAGGAATTGAAAATATTTCTTATGTGAAGTATAGAAAAATAGAAGGTCAAAGTAAAATAGATGCTGGAATAAAAAGAGCTCTGATAAGGAAAAAAAAAAAAAAAAGGATACAGTTACATTTATCTTGATAGCTGGTCCCCGGAGGGAAATGCCTTTCCAGAACTTTCTACCTCTGGCTCCACCTTAGAATTATCTGGACACCTTTGAAAAAATATACAAAAATCTTATTCTAGACCAACTGAATTGGATATTTTGGTTGTGGGAGGAACCAGGATATCAGTATTTTAAAAATGCCTGGGATGGTTCTAACGTGCCTTGAGGTTTGAGAACTACCACTCTCTGTGGTTTCTCACAAGTGTAGCTGTGTGCCTCTTCTGACTGCTGCCCAGAGGCTGGGCTTAGACTGCGGATATGGGGTACAGAGTACAGCTGGGTGGAAGGGGTCTCTAGCTGTGGGAGGGGAAGTTGGGGGAAAACCATTGCAAGACCTCCTGACTGGCACTTTCTGTTGCAGCTTGAGAGTGTGTGAGAGTGTGCTGGCAAGTCTGCTAAAGCAAGACTGTGGTAGAAGCTTCCCCAGCTTCCTCCGCTAGCAATCAGAGTCCTTCTCCACATTCGTGTGGGATACAAGTTTGCTCTCTAGAAAGCTCTGGCGTGTGAGCTTCCTTTGCAGGATGCATGTGTGTACACTTTCTGGTACTTTTCTGGGTGCCCACCAAGCATAACATTTTGTGTTTTCCTGGCATTCGTTGGAAGCAACGTAGGAAATGAGAAGCAAGTGTTGTTTACTTCCTGAAATGGGAGAATTTTTACAATTATTAACACCATCCAGATTTTAAATCTCTGAATAACAAAATAACGTCTGAGACAAAGGCCAGCACAGAAGACGTGATATCGCTTAGGTTCGTATAATTAGAATGAGACATCTGCCTTATATTTTTCTCTGACACCAATCGTAAGGTGTTAATCAGTCTAACTGGCACACAAAGCGATTCAATGTTATCTCCTCTACAGGGTGGGTTCCGTTTGTTCGGAGTTCTCTGGCAGTTAGGAATTCACCCATATGTGGGCCGCAGGCCGTGGTCTCGACCCGCTCCAGAAGTAAACACTCCCCTCCAGCTTCTGTGTAATTACGTGCCGTGGAGGGCAGTGTGGTTGGCTGCAAAGCCAAGGGTAAGCAATTCTCTCACAAACACATCCTGGACACAGACTGCTGCGCCCTATCTGACGTGTTTTATAAGGCCTCCTGACCAGAAAACACACATAACCACAGAATTCTTTACCAGGAGCATTCCGTGGGGTAAGGGAATGCCTCATAGGTATTGCTTTCTGATCGAACCTTCTGCTTGTCTTAGACCACTCCAGTGGCGGCAGGTAAGCCCAGAGGGGTCTGCAAGGAAGCATCTACCCTCGGATTTATTGATTTATTCTGGGTACCTAGAACCCTCAGGCATTAGATGCAGCTGAAGCTATTGCTGTTGTGGCATGAAACGGACAGTAGGGTAAAGTGTTATGTTTGCATCCTGGGTGTGGACAGCAAATCCATTAGAATAGAAAAAGATTTTCAGAAGTTTTCTATTTTAAATCCCATACTTTAAAACTTGTTTTGGGGCACCTGGGTGGCTCAGTCAGTAAAGCGTTCAACCTCAGCTCAGGTCATGATCTCACGGTTTGTGGGCTCAAGCCCTGCATTGGGCTCTGTGCTGACAGCTAGCTCAGAGCCTGGAGCCTGTTTCAGATTCTGTGTCTCCCTCTCTCTCTGACCCTCCCTGGCTCACACACTCTCTCTCTCTCTCTCTCTCTCTCTCTCCCTCTCTCAAAAATAAATAAAACATTAAAAAATTTAAAAAAGAAAAACAACTTGTTTTTAGTGAGTTCTAGAATGTCCATAGTATAATGCAGTAGAGCATGCTTACAAATGATAAATAACTTTGATTTATAAGTGCATATGTGCGACATGTTAAAAACTTTTTTTTATAGATTATACGTATGGTAAAAACAAACAAACAAACAAGCACCTGAGACCTGAGGTAAACAACTCTGTTAATGAATTCCTGCTAGGCTTCTAGTTCTTTCTACCTCATGGTCTACCCCTTAGCAGTTATGCTGAAGGGAAAAAGGCAGAGACAGAATGAGCAACGTTTACAGCTAGGAAAGATTTTTCCTTACATTTCTTTGTTCTTTCAAACTTGAGATGGTAAGACTGTAGTCATAATATATGTTCTTCCCTTTGTTGGACTCTAGAGGAGCACGTAGTTTGATGGAAAAGCTGAAGAAAACAATAACAGTCACATACTTATAAGATAGGTTTTATTTTTTATTTTTTTATAGTTTATTGTCAAGTTGGTTTACATATAACACCCAGTGCTCATCCCCACAAGTGCCCTCCTCCATGCCATCACTCCCTTTCCCCTTCCCCCAACCCCCATCAGTCCTCAGTTTGTTCTCAGCATTCAAGAGTCTCTCATGGTTTGCCTCTCTCCCTCTCTCAACCACTTTCCCCCTTCTTCTCCTTTATTGGATGAAGAGGAAACCTTACTCAGATTGTTTACTGTAACTTTGCTAAAGTAATTCCAGCCAAGCTTTTTAAAAAAAAAAATTAACAGAGCAGATAATTTAAACATCTACCTGTACCTTATTTAAACATTTACTGGTTTTTAAAACCTATTTTGTGGCATTGTTCCAAAGATCAAATGAGACGGTGCATTGTTTCATCTGTAATGAGTTTAGTAAGGATTTGTCTCATTATTATTGTTGTATTATTTTAAAAAAATTTTACTATTATGACATAGCTCCTCACTTAGCTTAACTTTCTTGAAGTGGTTCTTTAGGTTTCTGGGAGAAATCTCTAGAAGTCTGGTAGATTTTTAGATTTGGGGACCCAAGGAATGTATGCTCTGTTGTCTCTCCAGGCAGACCTAGTTTCTCTTCCCGTTGTCCCTGATCAAACAGGAGTGCTTAATTCTCCCTGATGTGGAGCATTCTTACTGAGCAGGTCCCTTGTACTGGCCAGGTTGCTTTTTCCTCAGAAGGGACCAGCGTAATTGGCAGGCTTGATAAACCTTGACTGCAAAAGACACTATCTTTCATCTTTTTGTCCCTGCCACCTTGCACAGTGCTCAATGAATGGTTATTTTATTTGTTTATTTGTTTTTAATATATTTTATTGCCAAATTGGCTTATATACAACACCCAGTGCTCATCCCAACAAGTGCCCTCCTTAATGCCCATCATCCACTTTCCCCTCTCCCCTTGCCCCGCCCCATCCACCTTCAGTTTGTTCTCTGTATTTAAGAGTCTCTTGTGGTTTGTCTCCCTCCCTCTCTGCTTGTGTCTATTTCCCCCTCCCTTCCCCCATGGCCTTCTGTTAAGTTTCTCAAGATCCACATATGAGTGAAAACATCTGATATCTGTCCTTCCCTGCCTGACTTATTTCACTCAGCACAATACCTTCCAGTGCCAACCACGTTGCTGCAAATGGCATGATTTCATTCTTTCTCATTGCCAAGTAGTATTCCATGGCATATATAAACCACATCTTCTTGATCCATTCGTCAAAGAACATTTAGGCTCTTTCCATATTTGACTATTGTTGAAAGTATTGCTATGAACATTGGGGTACATGTGCCACTGTGCATCAGCACTCCTGTATCTCATGGGTAAATTCCTAGCAGTGCTATTGCTGGGTCATAGGGGAGTTCTATTGTTAGTTTTCTGAGGAATCTTCACACTGTTCTCCAGAGCGGCTGCCTCAGTGTGCATTCAATGAATGGTTACTGAATTGAATTGATTAGGAGAGGCAGTAATTTAAGTCAAAGGAATGATTCTGGAAAGGTGGAAAAGCAGACACTATAATAGGGAGGGGTGGAGAGGTAATCTGTGGGGGTTGATATTTCTCAGAGTACTACAGAGTAGTAGTTTAATCTGTCTACAAAGAGTCCAGCTATCCCTCCTCAATACAGGTGACTGAGTGGCAGGTGGGGAACAGCCCCATATGGGGAGTGCTCATCAGGAGTACACGAGAGGAAGACCCTAGACCTCATAGGAAAATGAAAGTAGTCAGTGGCATTGTCCATGACAGAACATTGGCTCCCAAGTGTGGAGGTGCCCTAACACCTGTAACTGTGCCACACAGAACCAAGGTTGCCTTCAAGGAGCCTCAGAAGCAGCACGGCGGGCCTATGTCTAAGCTTGGGCTCCTGCAGCACATTAACATCGGATGGGTGGATTAAACAGCAGCCATTTAGGGGTGCCTGGGTGGCTCAGTTGATTAAGCGCCTGACTGCAGCTTATGTCATGATCTCTTGATTTGTGAGTTCGAGCCCCTCATCAAGCCTCTGTGATGACACCTCTGAGTCCTGAGCCTGCTTCAGATTCTGTGTCTCCCTCTCTCTCTGCACCTTCCCCGCTCATCCTCTGTCTCCCTGTCTCTCTCTCTCTTTCTCAAAAATAAAATAAAATAAATAAAATAAAATAAAATAAACGTTTAAAACATTAAACAACAGCCCTTTATCTCATGGGTCTGGAGGCTGAGAAATTTGAGACCAGGGCACCAGCATGGTCGGACTCTGGTGAGAGTGCTCTCCCTGGCTTGCAGATGGCCTCCTATTGTTGTATCTTCACATGGCAGAGACAGCACAAGAAGAAGCAAGCTCCCTGGTCTCTTCTTATAAGGCATTAATCTCATCATGAGGACCCCATCCTTAGGACCTCATCAAAATCAAACAATCTCCCAAAGACCCACTGTAAATATTATCACATGGAGGGGTAAGGTTTCAACATATGATTTGTGGGGAGCAAAATATAGTCCATAGAAGCCTAAGTACTTGGGTGTGAACCCTGATCTTCATTTCATAGCCAGGACTTTGGCCGAATTATTTAACTTCACTATGCCTCAGTTTTCTCATCTGTTAATTAGAAATAGAAATAGTTCCTACTTCCGGGTGCTGTTGTAAAGTCAGAACAAATACAGTTAAAGAACTTAGAACAGTGTCTGCAGCATGGCCAGTGTGAGATACAATGTAAGTTATTGTTGGTATTATTTTTATTTTTTTAAGTTTATTTATTTATTCTGAGAGAGAGAGAGAGAGAGACAGAGAGAGTGGGCAGGGGAGGGGCAGAGAGAGGAAGAGAAAGAATCCCAAGCAGGCCCTGCACTGTCAAGGCAGAGCCTGATGTGGGGCTCAAACTCACAAACTGTGAGATAATGACCTGAACTGAAACCAAGTCAGATGCTCAACTGACTAAGCCACCCAGGTGCCCCTTATTAGCTATTATTACCCAGGGAGGTGGGAGCAAACAGATACTTTATTATGTGGAAGCCAAGCTCTGGGCTTAGGTCTGCACTGACCACCTACCTTAACCAGGACAACATTGACCAGTGGCCTCAGATGTGGCAGCAAATGACCTGAAGCCAGTCTAGGTGCCTATGTGTGTGTCTGCCCCCTTTATATCCAGTCCCCTGTAGAGAGCATTAGGCTTCCTCTGCCCCCCTGTGCCTACCTGGTATTTCCTGCCATTCTCTCTCTTTTTTTTTTTTTTTAATTTTTTTAGTGTTTTATTTATTTCTAGGAGAGAGAGAGATAGTGGGAGCAGGGGAGGGTCAGAGAGAGAGGGAGACACAGAATCTGAAGCAGGCTCCAGGCTCTGAGCTGGCTGTCAGCACAGAGCCCGACGCGTGGCTCGAACCCATGAACCTCGAGATCATGACCTAAGCGAAAGTCGGATGCTTAACCGACTAAGCCACCCAGGCGCCCCTTTCCTGCCTCTCTCAACTGCTGCCTTGTCTCAGCATCTCTCTTTGCCCCTCATTTTCTCCCTTCTCATTCTTCTCATAGCCAAAGAGCTATATTCCCTCCTCAGGACCCCTGCCCAGGACTAGCTGCTGTCACGGGGCTGATACCCATCCTGGTTCTTCCTCTGCTTCAATCCTCAAAGTGGGAATCTGCAGAGATGCCCCTGGAACAGGATATGCTTGGGAGAAAGACCCTTCTCCAGGGCAGGAAGTCCAGACGGCACTGCAGTGTTTTTAGCTCCCACATTCTGTTGAGGTTGGTTTCCTTTTTCCTTCCAGGCTTATGAAATCCTATACTCCTTTTAAGCACAAATATTTTATAATGCTCAGGTGAGTTTCCACTAATGAAATACATAAATAAAAACCATCTGTGCATATGCTTACCTTCAAAAAACTAATTTAATGCCTTTAGTATACTATATAAAGCAGAACTAAAGAGAGAGTGATGCGTTATGAAACAATAGACATCTCAATATGTAGACGCGCCAGGCATGACTCTGTTAAAAGACGCAGTATTTTTCAGCTTGTGCTTCCAGGCAGATCACCATGAATACAAAAGGCACAAATGCAAATGACGGGAAGTGCAGCCATTGGTGATGCGATGGTCCAAAATGGTGGACAACTCCTGGAAAGTTCCAAATAAATCAAAGTTGAATTTTGCTTGGCTGTACCTGAGAAGAACTGCTCTAGTCTGTTTCAAGAAAGCACCATGTAAATAGTAAAATACTTACACATGCCCATTTCTCTGTTTGACTCCAAAGGGCTGAGTTAGAAACAGAGGCCAGGAGACCTGCATAACTTAGACAGATTCAAGTGGATGGGATGCATGGGTTGCTTAGTTGGTTAAGCGTCTGACTCTTGATTTCGGCTCAGGTCATAATCTCAGGGTTGAAGATCGAGCCTGCATCGGGGCTCTGTGCTGGATGCAGATTCTCTCTCTTTCCCTCTCTCTCTACCCTTCCCCACTCATGTGCTCACTCTTTCTCTCTAAAAACAAACAAATAATAAATAAATAAATAAATAAATAAATAAATAAATAAATAAAATTATAATTATAGCTATAAAAGAATCAAATGGAGTCAGATAGACATTCAAACCAACCCAGGCTCTACCACTTACTTTGGTGTGACCCTGAGGAAGTTATTAACCTTTCTAACCCTCGATTTTCTCATCTATAAAATAAGCATAAAGTACCCACCAGATACAGTTACTGTGAGGATTAAATGGAATAATGTGTAGAGAGCACTCTACACAGACTTCTCAATAAAGGATTTGGAGAGATGAGTAGGCAAGAAATAGTGTAGAGGAGAAAAAAATCTTTTCCTCCACCTATCTTTGTTCTCTGGCTGAGGTCATATAAATTAGACTGGCAAAAGACAGATTAGCAAGAGATAAATAAACACAAGTTTATTAACATGTGTGTTGCATATGAACACAGGGGACTCCCCAGCAATGAGTCAAACTAAGAGGTGGTT